TCTTAGAACATATTTACTAGAAATTGTCATCTCTATTACTACTGTTTTTTTCTTTTTTTTTATATATTTGAAGTATAAGATTCTTAATAGGTTATTTATATACATATACGCATAAATCTAATTATAGATAAATATAAAACAAGATTTGACAATTTTTATATTCAATCATATGATCTCATTGCTTTTCTTTCTTTTTTTTTTTTTTCTTCATATTATGTATTGACATTCGGGTTTTTTCTGCTTATTTATCAATAGCCTTTCAACAAACTATAGAAAGAAAAAATTGACAATTTATTTGACACTTTGAATAAGAATATGACACGTATCATATAGTCATTTGAACAAACCATGTGATACGAATTTTTCTTTAAAACTCATTCACTCTATTAGAAATATTAAAAAAAGAAGAAAAAAAAATGAGAACTAACATAAACAGAAAGAAAAAAAAAAGTTAAATTGCACGCATACTAAATAACTTTATTTTTTTTTTGTTGTTGTCGTTTCGGCTTCTTGCAGTACGATAATAATGACGGCAAAAAAAAGTGACATTCAACGATTGATTGAATGTTGTATTTGTTGTGATTACCTTACTGATGTACGTGAAACTCCTTGTTGTCATCAATTATTTTGTTATGCATGTATACAATCATGGCTTAACAAACCAACAAAAAATTGTCCACGTTGTCGATCAACAACATTGACAGAACAAAATTTATTGAAAAATATTGTTGTACAACGTTTTGTTGACAATCTTCAATTTCCATGTCCATATGCATTACAAGGTTGTTTAGTAGAAATTGCAAGATGTGATTTATTAAAACATAAACGTTTATGTTCATATTCACCTGAAAAACTTGCTAATAAACAACGATTAAAATTAGAAGAATCACGAGCTCTATTATTAAAATATAAAGAAGGAAAAATATATTTAACTGATAATGTTTTATTTGATTTAGCAAAATTATTTCATATTGAACATGATTATAATAATGCAAAAGAATGTTTACAAATGATTAAAGATCAAAATAAATTACAAGAAATTATTATACTTCAAGCACAAATTGAACGTGATACAAATCAATATGATAAAGCTTTAGAATTATATACAAAAGCTTATTCATTAACTAATTCAATTTCACAACGTATTGAATTGCTTTCAGCTAAAGGATATTTATTATTAAAAAAAGCTCAATATGAACAAGCAAAAGATATGTTTACACAAGCATTTGATCTCTTACGAATAGATGATCAATCACAAACAAAAGTTGAACTTCTTAATGCTCTTGGATTAATTGCTAAAAAATGTTCTGATGTAAGAAGAAATTTTCTAATTGTTTTTTTTTTTAATTAATTTTTTTATATTAAGTATGATCAAGCAATTTTAACTTACGATGAAGCACTTAAGATTGTTGATACAAATTCAAATCTATGGTCAGATATTATATCAAATCTTGCTGGTAAATATTTTTGTTATTATATATTTATTTTAAAGTCTCTCTCTCTCTCTCTCTATATATATATATAGATATTCATCGTAAAAAAGGTAATTATAATGAAGCAAGAGAACTTTATTTAAAATCTTTGAAACATGCTGAATCAGTCTATGGACAAAATCATCCATTAATTGCTGATATAATGAATAATCTTGCTCTATTATATAAAAAAGAAGGAAAATATACTGAAGCATTAGATTATCTTAAACAAGCATTAAAATTTTCCAAACATTATTATGGACAAGAACATCCAACTATTGGAATTTATCTTACTAATGTTGGTGATATTTATCGAAAAGTATTAAAAATAAAAAATTTTTGCATAATTCTTATGATTTTTTTGTTTTTGTTTTTAGCAAGGTGATTTTAAAACAGCTGAAGCAACTTATAAAGAAGCATTAACTTATTTAGAACAATCCTATGGAAAAGATCATATTGAAGTAGCTGAAGTATTAAATTCTATGGGTTTAGTTTTAAAAAAACGTACTGATTATGATGGTGCAGAAAAATATTATAAACGTGCTATTGAAATTGTTTATAATACATTTGGTCATGATCAAGAACATTATAAATTAGGTATTTATTATAATAATTTAGCTGATCTTGATCGAAAACGTAATAAATTTGATAATGCATTACAACTTTATCAACGTGCATTAACATCTATTGAAAAAACACTTGGTTTACAACATTCAGAAGCAGCTGAAATTTTACATAATATTGGACAAGTTCAACATCAACTTGGTTAGTATTATGTTAGGAAAAATTTTATTTCAATAGAAATTTGATTATTTTGGTGTTTTGTTTTTGTTTTAGGTAATTATAAACAAGCTATTGATTATATAAATCGAGCTTTAATTATAATCAAAAGAGAATTTAATGATAAACATTATAAATATGGAATATTTCTTAATTCTCTTGGTCTTTCATATGCAATGATAAATGATTATAAAATAGCATATATACATTTAAAACAAGCATTACAAATTCTTTTAAATAATTTAGGTTCGGATCATATTGAAGTATGTGATGTTTATTCAAATTTAGGTGATATTTGTATGAAATTTGTTATTGAAATTGATCAAGAAAAACAAAAATATCAAAGTGAAAAACAATCAAAATTAGATGAAGCAAAACAATATTATTTAGAAGCACAACGTATTGTTCAAGCAACATTTAGTAATGAACATACAAAAGCTATACAATTTTCATCACTTTTATTTATTATTAATAATTATAATTCATTATGTAAACTTTAATTACAATAAAATTTATTGGATAATTTCATATAGAATTTTTATCATAAACAATCTAAAAGATGTGTTGAAATATATGGAATAGAAATTTACATCCACACCCCCACATGACAGACACGTTCGCAATACTTCCTTTTCTTCGCGTCATAATCTGTAACAGATGTTGTTGATATATGATCAAAGATTATATATCAATAACGTCTTATTATAATATATACACTATTTCATTATTACATTTCGTGGAAGATTAAAATAAAATGATGATGAAGAAATATATCTCAAAAACGATAGAATAAAACAATCTCATTGTGATTAGCAACAACATTTACGTCGTTTATTACTGATGAAAATCGATCAAACTGATAAGACGATATTATTCATTGCTGCACTTAGAATAAAAGATACTAGTTGATAAGTTGTAGTAGGCATGCATCGAATTGATGATTGCAGTTATTTACAGTTAATTAATAAAAAGGAAATAGAAGTAAGCCAATATAAAACATTTCAGAGTTGACTATAATTAAATCAAGTGAATTGCTACAGACATTCAAAACAAAAGTCAACAATGCTCAGAAATATCCAAATCTTAAGATGCTTTCATGATTGCTCATATAAGCTCAACAAACACTTGGACAATTATCTAAATACTTATCAATGTCAGAATTAGTTGGATAGTTCTTGAACTGTACGTTAGTGTCTTATGAGAATGACTTCTCTCGATTTTCGTTTCTCGTTCTCGGAATGCCCTTTATACAACGTGAGACGGTCTTAAATTAAAAATACAATTATCATTGAAAATATATTTGAGTAAAATAAATCAATTGTTAGTTATACATCGACATTTATCAACGTTAAGTCTTTGGAGGAATATCGATATCTACTTAGGATTGATCAAAAGTTCTGATCACGGTGTTTAAAGGACCTTGTCAGATAGGGTAACTTATTCAGAAAAGAAAAACCAAATATCCAATGTTGTAGAGCTTTTTGCGACGCGTCGAATAGTATATAGTAGATCCTGTTTTCATAAGACTTTGAAGAAACTAGAGTCAATTTACTGATAGATGACTACACATCCACACCAAAGCATGATAAGTGTTTGAATATTGTGTTCGTTGGTATTAGTCGTAAGTATTTGTAAATTATTTTTTCTCACATACGATTTTCTAGAGTTTTGGACGGGCTACAATCTCATATAAGCAGCATCTTCGGTCATCTTGCCGGTGTGGGTGTGTAATCATCTATCAGTAAATTGATTCTAGTTCTTTCAAAGTCTTATGAAAATAGAATTTACTATATACCATTCGACGCGCCACAAAAAGCTCTACAACATGATATATTTGGTTTTTCCTTTCTGGATAGATTACCTTATTCAATAAGATCCTTTAAACACCATGATCAGAACTTTTGGTCAATCCTAAGTAATTCTCAACAATGTAACATCGGGTTGATTTCGACATTACTTTTGAATCTTATGAAGTTTGATGATTTTTCACGAAATCCAATGTTTTTCTTAGTATATACGCTCTATTTCATGTTTTTGAAAAAAAGACTCATCGCCAAAGACTTAACACATGGGTCTATCATCAACCGTAACATTATATTAGATTGCATTAGTTTCACATGACGATAAAGCTCATTTCACATGATCAAATTTTTGATATTATGACGGATGTGATGATGGGTGTATATCTCCACCACTTAAAGAAAATTTTGTTTTTCATTAAAAAAAAGAGAGCATCGTAGAATGAAAGAAAAAAAAATTAGTCTTTTCATCCATTTTTAAAAAATTGTATATTTGTCGTTCCAATTCGCAGCAAATTTCTCCTTCCACTTTTACCTTCACGTATTTTTTTCCATTGTCATATCTTTGCATGTTATCTTGAATTACATTTTGAAGACAAAAAAAAAAACAAAATCTTACTTTTTATCCTCAATTAATTTTTGAATATTCTAAATTGAAATTCAATATCATTATTATTAAGACTATGTTATGAAAGTAAAAACGTTTTGTTAGAACAGCTGATTGTTTTCTTTTTTTTTTTTTTGTATTACTTTTTTCAAATTATATTAGATTATAATGAGTTAAATATTTATTTTTCATTGTTCGATTGAATTCTATATGATATAATATCAAAATTAATTATAGTAATATTAATTTAATAATTAAATTTTATTTTTTTAAAGAACAAAACAAAAGAAAAAAATTAGATGGATACGCACATGAAAATAAAATCTCGTTTTATGTGTTATTTTAAAATTTGTTTTTAATCATTAAAATAATTGAAGTAATACCAATTATAATAAATAATGGTGATGGTAATTGTTTCATGCCACTACACTTTGCCATTGTTGTTCCAAGGGCACCTTGTGGTGGACATCGATCATGATAAGAATCAATACACAATTCTGGTCGACATGTTTGAGCTGTACAAAACCATATAGGAGAAGAGCCTACTAATTGAGGTTCACATCGAGATGATGTACAACAATGACATTCACAATTGGCAGCAAATGTTCCTTGTAGAACCAGAAGAAAAACTATGAATGTAGTCAAGACATGCATTATATCAAAAACGTCAAACGACAACAAGTGATCGAAGTCAGTAATTGAAAATGGATGTATATATGATTTAATTTTTTTTTTCTTTTAGCTTACTACTCTTTTTGTTGGTAATTTGATTCCACTTCATATTAGAAAGCGATATTCTGCCCACTTTCAATGACAACAAATAACATGTTTTTGGATAGTAATGTAGACGGTAGAGTTTCAATATGATTCATTGTATGTAGAATTCGTATTTTTCGTCAGTCAATAAATATAAAACTAATATATTATTACTTACGAAAGATAATATTGTCATCCTATTGAATAAGCGGTTTTTTTTTGTTTTGATATTTAAATTTTTTTTTTTTGTCAAAACGTTTTATTAAATCAAATACTTGAGAATATATTTGCAAAGGATATCTCATATACATAGATGAAAATATTTAAATTATCTATGAATGAAATAGAAAAAAACATGATCAGTTTGCCATCTATTATATCAAATAGAAATAAAAATATTTATGTGATTTCTATTAAAAATTTTTATCAGATATATTTATTAATATTTAGTTATATAAAAACAAAAATTATAAATATAATTATTATTGGAAAAAAACTTGAATGTTTAAAAATAGTATAAGCATGAGCACATACAGATTGAACATTGCCAATAGAACCAACAGCAGGACATTGTGTTGTATTGAGTCCAAAGCAAACATTTTGATTACATGTTGTCGAATTACAAATTGGGTTAACATAGAATGCACCCACGAAAACTGGTGTGCATGATTCGGAACGGCAACAATTACAATGACATAACGCAACGCCTTCGACATTTTTTAAATAGAATATAATACATAAGATGACGATCAATTTCATTTGCATTTTTTTGTTTATAGATGAAAAACACAAAAATGAATAGTAATACTTCTTCTCTATAGATATTTAAAGCATCGAATCATGAAAAGGTCATTATCACGCTAATGTTTTTTTTTTCATGTACACATAGGATATAAATAAGAATAGGTTTTTTATTCAATGATTTCAACATTTATTAATATTAAATTCTCTATAGCAAAGATAAAAACATCGTATGATGTTGTTTATCGTTTTGAAATTAAACTACGTAAAACAAACATTCCAAAAATACTTCCATTAAAAAAGAACAACATACGAACGATAGAGTAATTTTGTACGCTTATACGTGTCATCACGTTTTTTTTTTCATAAATAAATTTTGTATACCACTAATATATATATATATATATATGTATATAGAAAATTTTAAAAGAATCAGAATAAAAACGTGAATAAACAATGGGAAATCATCAAACAAATTCAAGACGTCAACATCGTCTAAGTGAATGTGTTGGTTTTAATAGACACGATAGTGATGATGAACATTTAGTTACAATACAACAAAGAGAACGACGAGTATGATTAATTTAAAATCAGTCTATTTAAGATACTTAAATTCTTTTTTTTTTTTTTTTAATAAGATTTCGACAAAAAGTGCACCACCACTTGATGAATTAAATATAACAATGCGTCCTATTGATTCTACATTGATTACTTTCTCAATACCTGTTTTACCTTTTGATGCATATGCAAGTGTTGCTGGTACTTTTACAGATTGGATTGAACATAAAATGACTAAATCGTATATTGAAATTATGTTTTTTTTTTTTTTTATTTCTTTATTTTATATTTAAATTTATAGAAATGGTGAATTTAAAATAGATATGCGAATACCATATGGTAGTCATTATTATAGAATTTTAGTTAATGGACGAACACGTTTTATACCAAATGAAGTATATTTGAATTTTTATTTTTAATAAATTCTAATATCGAGAAATCTTTATTTCATATTTAAGACAATTAAATGTCATACAAAATTTGGTCGTGTACATTTTATTGATGTAAATGCAAATTATCAAAATGTAAATAATTCTTTAGAACAACCAATTTTATCTCTTCATAAATTAAATAGATGGACACAAGAAATAAATAATCAATTTATAAAAAGTGATCAACCGCCACCACCTCATATTCCACCTCATCTACTTAATATTCTTCTCAATCAAGAATTACCTGATCATGTTTGATTTTCTAATCTACATAAATAGTATGCATATTTATTTATTTATTTATTTATTTGTAGTGTGATCCTGATATTCTTCCAGAACCAAATACTGTTATGCTTCGACATTTATATGCTTTATCAATTCAAGTAATTATTTCTTCTCTGTTAATTTTTTCTATATTTCATCTCGTTTTATTTTATTTCTTTTTGTCTATAGAATGGTATTATGATATTAAGTACAATAATTCGATATAAACAAAAATTTGTTACAATATGTTTCTATAAACCAGATTAATTTTTAATTTATATTTTTTTATTTTATATTTAATTTATTTTAAATAATAGAAATGTATATATGTACTTTGTTAAATAAATATAGATTGTATAATAGAAATTTTAATTTCAACTATTCTATTTGGATATTCATGTGTGTGACAATTAGACGAAAGATATGTTTCTCTCAATGTAATATAGTCGAGATAACTATTGTCGTATATGAAACTATTTCTTTTGATATTTAAAAAGTTGTAAGCAACAAAGTAATCAATGATATTTTAATTATGCTTTAGTTTTAAAGGAATAATGCAATGGTTTTATTCAAGCATCATCAATTGAGATTTTTTTTTGTCTCCAATGATGACGAAAACTAGAATCATCTATGGCGAATATCAAAAGTAGAAACCGTTGGATTTATCATTCGGTATTATAGAACGAACAATGTTCTTTTGACGTCTAGATTAATATCAAATATTACATAGATTATTTTTATCTGTCTCAAATTTGAACACCGGACGACTCAAAATAAATGACCGTACTTTACATTTAATTTGTTTTTTACTTCTAAACATGTTGTATTAAAAAAACAAAACACAACATATTACACAAGATACAACATGGAAAGTTCTACAATTTACACAGTAAAGCTTGTTGAATTGAAATCTGTTCAATTCAAAACGTACATCCACATTGAAAAAATATCATTTGTAAATCGAATTTCTAAGATAAAATTATCTATAGTTTTTTGATAGTAACAATATCATTATTTACATGCAGCATGCTTTTTGTTAAGATCCCATCATCGATTTATAATTGTCAAAAAAAACAAACATTTGCTAAGTGCTTTGCATTATAAAAATATCAAACTATTAATATTTACAAATCGTCGCAAAAATATTCATGTACAACAGATTTACGAATGAAATAATAGAACATTAATTAAGAACTTTCATGTTCTCAAAAATCGATTTTGGTCCATGAACATTCAAACCACATGAAATTTTTAGGATATATTGAAGCTGTAATGGAGAGGTTATGAGCAAAAATTTCCAGTTCTATTCCTACACTTTTTCGAGAGATACTCAACAAATAAGTTATAAAATAGCTCATTTTGCCAAGCTGAAATTCTCTATAGGTCTTCATTATATATGTGTTTTTTATTTGAAAAAGTATATCAAACTGTAATGCCTCACAGGCTTGTTTATTTTTTAATTACTACTTTTTATGCGGAGAAAAAGGATGACAAATGTAATACTTCGCAAAATAGTCATCTATTTATAGAAGTGTTTTTTTTTTATATGATGATGAAAAAAGCTTAATTACCAAGAAAAAGAACGAGGTATCGCAGTTTCACATACTCGTGCAAAGAATAAAAAAGCAATTGGTTACAATGAAGCTCGTTAGAAAATTCTAGAAGATGCGATTAGCAAAGTATAAATAGAGAGAAAAGATTTTCTGATCGTTCTGAATGAAGCATGTTTTTCAAACAGAGAATGACGGAAATCATTCAAAAACTATGTATTTATCTTAATTTCGATAATTCTGATGAAAATTGAGAAAAAGTAGACTTATTTGAAGCAATTACATTATATGTCAAATCTTACAAATTTCGATAAATCATGAATCTATAAATATTTTAACAAAAATCAAAAAAGAAATTTTATCATTTATCGAATACAAATTGATGTTCTAACATTTTAGACTTCAAAAGAAGTTTGAAAAAAACAGGTAGATCCTTCTTATACAGCTATTATTGTTCGTATGTCACAGCTCTTAATAACAATAATAATAGTTGGTAAGCAATCAGAAAAAAAAGACATTTGCCTAGAAAAATGAGAATATAAATGAAGATTCTTCTTAATTACAAAAATGATTTAATTTTCAATATTAACATAGAACATACAACAGCAAAATATCCATTAAAATGCTCTTCTCAACGATCGGTATGTGATATGTGTGTGTATCAAATCATCAAAGATAACTTTCAAAATATAAATTTGACATATAGCGAAGATTTTATGAAATGAAATACAAGAATACAGAACTACGTTTACATTTATTGATAGTCATATATGTCAGATTGAAAATCGATATGCATTTAATCTAATTTGAATGAGTTTATAATGAATAATTATTGTTAAACTATCTAAAATGTTTTCTTTTAGTATAACAGAAAAGAAATCAATATGTATATTAAATAAATTGTGATAAAAGTTTGTGACTGGGCGCTTCAGTCACGGTCATGAAAATTTCAAAAATATCATTAGCGATCACAACGGAGAATTAATCTGGTCTCTATTCTAATGTGATATTAAAACGAACAACAATATTAAAAATTACAGATAATTTGATATCTACAACCATGATTATATTTGATTTTACAATAAAAGCAGAATCTATAGTTGAATTAGGAATTAAAACAGTATCGTAAACTATGAACTCACTAGATTTTATGATGACAATCGAAATAACAAATGCAATGAGATATCCAAAGTTAGAGTCAAAATTAAAAAAAAAAGAACATTTTATTGATGTCTTTTCTGTAAATTTTGAAGAACATCAACGTTATCAAAGTGTCATATTAATGATAAACTATTCAATTCTATAACAAGTTTTCCTACGTAGGTTTTGTTTTGTTATTTGTACAATTTAATTTATTGACTAAAACAATCAAGAAATAAAAATATGATACGTGAGAAATGATATCTATGCAATCAAGATAAGTGATGATTCAAATACTATCGACATTATTCTTTATCTAAAATAGGGGTGACACTTTCGTTTAAAAAAAATGCTAGAAAACACAGTTCGGGATTAAAGATGTAAACTAATCGACTGAGCTGTTGCCGTTGCTCAAAATAGTCATCGAAGCTTCTAGCCAGGCGGCACCAAAATAGATATTTGACTTATGAAAATTTCCAACGAATCAAATGTTTCAAACTTTCTTGAAATTAAGAAAACTTTCAAAAAATTTAAGCTGCCCCTACCGACGATCAATGCATCGGCTTACACAACTATTTAGGATGTGTTCTCATTCGTTGAGAACGAAATATTCAAGAACGAGAACTCTAATCTCACTAATCTATAGTTTTCTAGTTCAATATATTCATTACAATTAAGAAAACATTTCTAACTGTTCAATCACTGTTTGGTAGAGACTTTTCTATTTGATCAGTGATGAGTTCGTTTTTGGTTTTTCTATCGTCGCTTTTTGATTTATGAGCAAAGAATCGCTGAATACCTGGATGATTGAATTTCGAGCTGACATTTTGTCCGTCGATAGGTCTTACAGTCACTAGAAATACCTCAAAGTTTGAGCCACAACGAATATATCCTTGCTCAGATATTTATATTTTAAAGAAACGTTTTTTTAAAGTTGTATTTCAAAGGGAGTAGATTTCTATAACAAGTTGATTGATTGTTTAGCTTCTATTAAATTCTAAAAACAAAAATACGATAATAATCAGTACTATTGAATTCTTCAATAAAGTTATTATTCATAATCAGTACTATTGAATTCTTCAATAAAGTTATTATTCATAATCAGTATTGTTCTGTATAATTTAAACTTATTTTTATTCTCATCTTAATTTATTCCATGAAAATTATTATCGATAACAAAATAAAAGTATTCATAAGCAATCGGAATCATATTAAACTAGAATTACACATCAGGAGTACTCTGTAATGAATTCACTGACTGCTCAACTATCACATCAATAACGACAGGAGAATGTTCTGGTTCAGTTTGATCATTAGCCACCGATTGACTTGTTTCCTGAGGTTGCTCATGACAGACATTTTCTTTTACAGTTTGTTCGATTTTATCATTAGCCGTCGATTGATCGGCTTTCATAGTTTGCTCATGATAGATATTTTCTTCAACGGATGGTTCGAATTTCATCTTTGTAGATTGTGTTTTTTCAATTGGTGTCGATTCATGAAACATTTGTAATTTAGTCATTAATATATTTAATCGTTCTGGTTGATTTTTATTTTCAATTTCTTTTTGTAATAATATTTTCAAATATTTTAATTGTTCATTTTCATTATTTGTTAATTTTAATTGTATTTGCCATAATCCATTTTCAATTTGATCAATAGTATGAATTCGAAATATAGTATTTATTGCAAAAACTATTTCATTTTCTGATTCAGCATAATAACTTATTTTATCTAATGATGTAAATAATGATTTTGTTCGATCAATTTCCATTTGAAATAGAACTCCTATTAATTGATGATTATCTCGAGCAGAACGTGCATAAAATTTTGATAAATCTTTATTTGTTGTTGTTAGAAGAAAATTATTAAATGAAAGAAAACCATTTTGATTATCTAGAATTTTATTAAATTCTTCTTCGGATACACCTTGTCCTCGATAAACAATTAAAGGATTTTTTTGATTTAATTTTGAATGTAATCGTATAATTTCTAGATGAATATCTCGAATAAAAAAACTCATTTTAATTAACATATTCATATCTTGAATACGAAATGCTTTATTTAATATTGAATAAATAAAACATTCTCTTGTACACCACCATATAGATGATGGTTGATTATAATCATTTTGAAATTCTTTTATTATATCTAATTGATATTTATTATTTTGATATTTTGAATAACAAAAATTAATAAAATCTATTTTTGTATTTGATTTATAATCTAATTCAATTAAAATTTCTTTAAATAATTGTATATAAATAAATAATTGATCAGATTGATTTAAGTTTTTATTTGTATTAAATGTTGATGATAAGATATTAAATGAAATTAAATCATCTTCACATTGTCTTATATCTCGTCTAATTGCATCATAAATAGGTTCAATATTTTGAAAAACTCCTTTAATTTTTTTTTCTTGATCTGCCCATTTTTCATGTCTAACTTTATTATCACAATATACATAAATTGAATCAATTTGACAAAGATTATTTATTATTGATACAAGTTTTCGACCAAGAAGACCAGAAATAATTAGAAAGATTTTTTCAGTTTTAATATCACTAATAAAATCAATACATTGATTTGAATCATTAAATGGTAATATTAAATGTACAAGTTTTTGAAAATGATTTTTAAAAGAATTATATTCATCACTATGTATATTTATACTGGGATCTAACCATATAATAATGAAATTTTCAATTGTTGATTGTTGTTCGATATGAAGATTTAATAAGAATTTTTTAATAGTTGATACTATGCTCGCATTTTGTTGTGATGAAGAAATCAATAATTTATGTTGTGATGATTTAGTACTTTTATTGTTTGCTTCTGCCATTTTTTTGTCAATCTGTTTGTGATATGAGGTTAGAAATTTTTATATTAGATTACAATGAATAGTGTAGTTCCTTCGTCCATTTGACATCCATATAACTTTTGATTACCCATAGCAATATAAAAGTTCTGTTAGCTGATAATACGCAGAGAACCAATTAGAAGTTGGCAAAGTTCGAGTTGCTGAAATGAAAATTGAGTAGATGGCAGTGAAAACAATGGTTTAAAAAGTCTAGAATTCATATATAAAATATCTGATTATTTAACATTAATAAATTGATTCTTTGTAGTAAAGTGACAACTATAGGAAAAGAAAAAAGGGACTAACACATCATAACAAATACAATTATTTATTGTTTTCAGATAGTTATCCAATCGTATGCTTTTGCTATTCAATGTTATTATTCCAATGAATCATCAATTTCGTATTCACTATGTTTTGTGACCATCTGTTTCTATTATAAAATAAAATAAAATAAAATAAAAATGTTTGATACAGACGTTTTTTCTAAAACATCAAAAACTCGTCCAGTTAGTGATGTTTTACATATAATTATTTTACTTATAATTATTAAATTATTAAAAACATTTGGTTTATTTATAACATACGATTTATTAAAATCTTATCATGTTGTTTTAATATTATTTCTTACAACATTATTTACTTCTATTTGTTTATTATTTATTCAAAAACCATTTTCATCATTTCGACCAAATAAAATTTTAATTTATCGTTTAATTAAATATACAATATGTCTTACAATAATACGTCTTCTTTGGTTATTTGGTTTAACATTATGTGGTCCATTACGAACAATTTTATTATATGAACATAGTGATATTGTTATAATAGCATGTTTTCAAGCTCTATTTTCATCATCATCTATTGGTCCACAAGGACAAACATCACGTATACGTGGTGTTGTATTTTTTATTTTAGCTGTTTTAGCTATATTTGCATTTGATAATGATGATTCAAGGCAAAATATTGATCATCCTGAAGGTCATTTACATCATCGGTTTTTTGCACATATTTTTTATCAATTAACATCATTAATTGGTGTTGCTGATCATAAAGGTGGAGTTATTTTATTATTAATTGCTTTATTTTTTCGTTGTGGATTAAATTCATGGAGTAAAAAATTAGTAATAGATGTAGGTGGACAAAAAAAATTTTATGCTATAACAACATGTTTATCAACAATATGTCTTATACCAATGTCATTCATTATTTTATTATTTAATAATCTTTTTGTAAGAAGAAAAAATATTATAATAATTGCAAAAAAAAAAGATTATGTTTTTCTTTTTTTATAGCCGGATTCAATTGATTCAATACGTTCAACATTTCAAACAACAATATCAACAACAATAACATCATCATTATTTGATAATATATCATCATTAATTATACCAATTATTCTTATAACATTATTTTTATTTATATTAGATTTTTATGTTGAACAATTAGCTATTATTAAACTTGATCGTATACGAACATTTCGATATGGTACATTAACAATGATATTTAGTTCATTTATTATTTCATTTATTTGGGTTAAAACAATACGAATAACAAGTAATAATATATGGTTTGGACGAATGATGCAAATTGAAGAACATGAATTATCTGGTGGTGTTGTTTTTGCTGTTATTATGTTTGCATTTGCAACAGATCTTTTAATAAGTCCAATAAAACAACGATCAGGTGCATTTATTGGTTATAATCAAGAAGGTGTACCTTTATTTAATTTAACACATCAAAAATCTCAATCATTATTACTTATATTAAAATCAAGTTTAAGAGATATACTTGCAGAATCGGATTCAAGAAGAATTTTTTATTTTCTTTGTATTAATCTAGTAAGTAATGAATGGAATCGAAAGTTTTGAAACAAAAATATTTGTTTGTTTTCTTTTTCAACTTCCTTGAAAGTCTTTCCGAGAAGTTAAAAGTTATGATTTAGGAATCTATCAGGTTAGTCCTAGACCCGACCAGTTACCGATCATCGAGTCCGAGTCTGAAAATTTTTCATCTGATGGGCTCTACTCATCTGATGAGGGAAAGTTCCCAAGTGATAAATTACTTTTAAGCTGAAATTAGGCTCTTGTAAGTAATTCGAGTTGCTGAGAAGCAAAATCATACCTTGAAATTTTGATCTGAAACTTTACCAACACATAAAGGTATTGATTAGATTAGCTTGTAGAAAACAATGTCAGAATTTTTTTCGTTAAGTCTCTACAAGATATGATTCTTGTTTAAAATGTAGACACTTTGTCATGATTCTTGTAAAGTGTACATGGATAATTTGAAATAGAATCATATCTCAGAGACACTTGGTCAAAAATTCTAAAATTTTTTCTATGAGTTAGTCTAATCGACACCTTTATGTAGACAAAGTTTCAGATCAAAATTCAAAAGTATGATTTTCCTAGTCGAGACTTCCTAGAAGAATCGCGGGAGAATCCCTATCGTGAATCTCTTGGGGAGTTAAGAGGGGATTCAGGGACTCACTAGGAATTTCCTAGGGAATTGATGAGTATTATCAGGGTCTCTCCAGAAGGAAGTCATCATTGGAATTCTCTGAAAAATCCAAATTTATGAAAATTTTAGAGGGACTCCCCGGGAAGTTTTAGAGGGATTCTGAGATATACAACTCCCTCGGGGACTCACGACAGGGATTTTGCATTTTTCAGGGGACTCGCCGGTGATTTCGTTGGAGAGAGTCGATTAGGGTTTGCTTGAAAACTAGAGTCCTCTCAGCAACGAGAATAACTCTAGAGTATTTGATTGAATATAGTCGAAAGCGATTTATCACTTTGAGAATCTTTCTTTGTGAGAAATGTGTAGGATGTGCTAGTCACCAAATACAAAAAGCCAGAAAAAAAAGTGTTTCATATCTTCGAGACGATTGTCCAATTTCGTTGAGAGTATCTCACAGTAAGGTTGGCTCTATCGAGCGAACACTTTTTTTTTACCAAATTTTATATTGAACTAAGCTGAGGTTTGTACCTAAATGAAACTGTCGGCAGTTTGTGCAAGAGTTCCTTTATATACAAAATCCATTTTGATCAAAAAATTGAATGAAGATTTAAGATAAACAATAAGATGTCAATATTTACTTTCAAGTTGCAATATAATGAAAATAGAAAAGTATTTCGAAAAAATTTTTCATTCAAACTATTTTTTGAGTCTTTTAGCTTTTTACTCCTAGAAAGTACTTTCAAGGTAGTTAAAATTAAACAAACATTTGATCTAAAAAAATTTCGACTCTATAAGTTATAAAAGTATATGAAAATAAAATATTTTATTATATTTATTTTAAATAGATGTTTACATTTGTTGAACTTCTTTATGGAGCTTGGACAAATTCATTAGGTTTATTAAGTGATGGTTTTCATATGTTATTTGATTGTACAGCACTTGTTGTTGGTCTTTATGCAGCACTTATGTCCCGTTGGAAACCAACACGGGTGTTTTCATATGGTTATGGACGAGTAGAAGTTCTTTCGGGTTTTGTTAATGGTTTATTTCTTGTTGTTGTGGCTTTTTTTGTTTTCTATGAAGCAATCGGTCGTCTTTTTGAACCACCAGAAATTAATACAAATCGTTTATTATTCGTATCTGTTGCTGGATTTGCTGTTAACATGATTGGTATATTTTCATTTAGTCATGCACATGCACATGCTCATGGCGGTGGTGGTGGTGGTGGTAGTTGTCCAATGAGTCAACCAACTCCAACTAAAGAACAACATCATCATGGTCATTCTCATGATCATTCACATTCACATTCACATGGTAGTAGTAGTCATGATCATGAACATTCACATGGATCAAATGAAAAATCAAGTCATCATGGACATAGTCATGCATTGACAGACAATGCAAATATGAGAGGTAGGTTTGTTTTTTGAATATTAATTTTAAAATTAATGATATTATTTATATTCTTTTTTTAGGCGTCTTTCTTCACGTATTAGCAGACACATTGGGAAGTGTAAGTATTTTCGTTGGAAATTCGAAAATAAATATTTTTCTCTCTACATGATCTAATAGTAAGAACATTGGTTTTTACTATCAGACCGTATAGAGAGAAAATTTCTTATAAGAAACTAAAATATTTTCGCCAATAATTTTTTCGTATGTCACTTTTAGGTTGGTGTAATTATATCATCATTACTTATTCAATATTTTGGTTGGAATATATCAGATCCAATATGTTCATTATTTATTTCTATAATGATTTTTCTTTCTGTAATTCCATTCTTAAAAGAAAGTGCAATGACACTTTTATTACAAACTCCATCAAATATTCAATATGAAATACTTGATCGAATACTTAAACTTGATCAAGTACAATCATATTCAGATGAACATTTTTGGAATCTTTCATCATCGCTGACAGTTGGAACAATTCATATACAAATTGCAAATGATGGTGATGAACAACGTGTTACAGCTCAAGTTAGTTTAATCATCTTCTGTTTTTTTTTATTATTGATTTTGTTTTTTTTTATTTAGGTTCAAACAATTCTAAAAGAAGCTCAAATACAAAATGTAGCTATTCAAGTTGAAAAACAAGCATTTTTTAATCATTTAAATGGACTTAATTCTGCTCTTGGTCAATTAGCATCATCACAAAGAACATTTTCACATAGATGACAATCGTATATATGAAATTATGTTCCCACCGAAATGATATTTTTATTGTTATTGTTGTCATATTATATCGTAAGACTATAGAAGATTGTTTGTTTGTCAATTTTGTTTCTGGTGTTATTCGTTATTTAATTTATTTCATCTTTATATAGAATACATGAGTAAAAAAAAACAATAATCTTTTTCTTAAAATCATTTATTGAGATTGACAAATACTTTCATTTCTATATTGGAATCAAAGTTGATTTCGAATTTTTTGAAATTATTTGATTGAAAGAAAATCATTCAATTTTCATTCGAGTTTATTTATAACGAGTTTGAATAAAAATGTTTGGAAAAAACAATTCTCTTCAAATGGTCTTTAAACGATTCAACAATAATTATCTGTTGCGATTTTTAACTGTTCAATAATTTATCACGAATTAGCCACCATTGTAAACTGATAACTGAACGTTGCCATGATTATGCGAAACCAATATTACTGTCTAAAAATCGATGATGTTCTAGAAGACCTAAAGAAATTACTTAAGAAATAATGACACTTGTAAAAATGAGTCAGGATCAAGTGTTCAGCCTATTGCATATGATTGTTCAATACTGCACACAACGATTCATCGAATTATGACGAAATATCTCTTTTTAAAACCAAATGACTTATTTTTACAAGCATCATTAACTACATTGACTTTTTCTTCAGTAATTACTTTAGAATTTTCCAAAACATCATCGATGATTTTTGACAGTTCTTATGATACATCATCATTGCAATGTTCAGCTATTGTTTTACAATGGTGACTTATTCGAATTTGACTATGAGTAAAACCATTGTAATCCTTACTTCTTAGTGAGGCATAGATATTTTATCTTAAATATATTGAATAAAATTTTAATGAATATTTGATCAAACTGTTAAAAAGAGATATTCATATTTCTTATTCGACTGAATTTTTGAAACAGCCTTTATTATCGCACTTTGTTAAGAAAATTCGTTTTCTAAACCTATAAAATAAGCATATATATATTCGATAGCTTTTGAAAATAATTTATCCATTATCTTTCCCTTCTTCCATAACGACAATCGAACGAACGAAGCATGACTGTGGATAAAAAACAGTGAATTATAAGAAATAATATGTCGCATTAAATAGAATTTATTTTTGCTAGCAACATATTCAATATAAAATAAGTAGAGTGTTTCATTTGTTAAAGATGGAAAGAAAATGATAGAATCAACATAAGTTTTGGACTATTGCTCATTTCAAAGTATACACTTTCAATATTATATTATTTGATATTGACAAATTTGTTGATTTCATTATCGACACCAATAAAGAAAAGATCTTCATGATCTTTTCGGCGCATTTTAACAAACAATGGTTGGTGTCGTATGTGAGAATTGCTTTGTGTAAGTTCTATATGGATTTTTGTGAGAGCGAAGCAAAACAATAGCCCAAAGTGAAGAGTGTGCCGATACGGCTTTCATTTTCTTTGTATTTGCCGAACGGTTTCGTGCAGGAATGGTCTGGAAAATAGTATGTTTCGGGTGGATTCTTGCCGTCTATAGAGACCAAAATCATCTGTCTGAGTATTAAACAAATAATAAAAAAAATATAGAAATAATCATCTGTCGCAAATGGACCTGCGATGAAATAAAGAATTGTAATTGAAATCTAAAATACAAGGTTTTGTGACAATGCCTATGCAAATAAAGTATATAAAAGTCTAAAACAAAACAAATTTTTCATAATCTAAAAAACGTAAAAGGGAGTTTTGCAATTTTTTTTTTCTGCAACGAGAAAGATTAATTAATTTTTTTATAAACAGATAAGTGGTAAATATACGTATAATTTCATCATCTAAGATATTTACAAGACAATGAGAGAAGCAAAAAAAAAAGTGGCACTTACATAACAAACATAGAAGAATTAAAATTTACTTTGTCTTACAAATACAATGTCACCAAAACAGCCAATTTTTTAAAATTTTCGTGCTCATTGTCGGACATATCTTTGTTATTACATCAGAAGATGTGAGTATGGACGTTGAAGTGCAATATAATGCTTTAATCGGGACAAAATATCACTTCTGATGTTCAAGTAATTCACTGAAATATGTAATAGCGCTTTGCAAATCGTCAACAGATTGTTGATCAATCGATTGAATATTGTTCTTCATTAATTGCATGGCTTGTTTATAATTATCCAAAGCTAATACATAATTACCAATATTACAGTAACAGCTACCGATTGTGGTATAGATACGTGCAAGATCAGGATGATCACAGGGTAGATAGCTCAAGCTCGCTTCAAGTGCTTTTTGAAAGTACTCAAGTGCTTTGTTGTGTTCGCCTCTATGCATAAAAATAGTTCCAAGGCTTTTCTGTATATGACAGAGTCGATATGGATGATTGAGAATCGAAGTATCTGCTAGCATTTTGTAGCAGAATTGCTCGGCGTGATCATAATCGCCCATCGTGATGAGTAATTTGCTCAAGTGAAAAAGTGGATTGGTATATACGTCATTACTTCTTAGAGGTTCAATGAGACTATGTACATATGGATCATGATCATCGATGAGTGTCAACTTCACCGTCCACATATTCATCGAATATTCATCCATTTTTTCGACAGATTCAATATGAAAGATAACGCTAAGAGCGAAACAAATTTTGCCTTTTCCTGGTTCTTCATTCAAACCGATATTGTTCAATGAAGCAAACGGACTCATTGTATTATATTTCATCCGATTGACATGAATTTCAAAGAGAATAGCTATTCTATCCGCATGAGTTGCTATTCGACGACGAAGAAAATTCATTGCAAAATTTTTGTCAATACTAGCTGTTAGAAACGTTGAGCATGAAAGTAGACCATCACAATTGTTTTTTATTAGTGTCTCAAATTCATCGTTCGACATTGTCTTACCACGATAGACTATTAAAGGATTCTGCGTCAAAACAAATATTTGCTCATATAAATTGTTGATTTGTATATGAATATGTTTCGTAAAGAAGGCCATCTTATAGAGAGTATCGATCTCGCGTGTACGTTGAGCACGATGAAGCATTCGTGAAACGAAACACGATCGATTGAACCACAAGAGAGCTTTTTGTGGTCGATAGTTTTGTTCAAAATCATCAATAATACTCAACTGTTCATTGTCATGTACATAGTATTGACGACAGAAATTCAAAAGGATATTCTGAGCATTGTTGTCCAATTTATATCGACATAAGAGTTCTTTCGTTAACTGAATATAGAGAAATTCTGCTGTTTGTTTTGTCAAATCGTTAGTCGACATCAATGGTGGAATTGCTGTGATAGTAATATAGTCGATTTCACACAATTCGACATCTTGACGTAATTGTTCACATAAATTCAATAGATTCAATTGAAATATTTCTTGATTGATATTATTCGAAGATCTGTCGAAAATATAGATCTTTTCGATTTGTCTTAGATGACGAATACGTTCAACAAATGAAGTCATATCCGATGGAATGATGAGAAATATTTTCTCTTCGTAAATATTGGCCATAAAAGTGATACAGACATCCTGATCGGTAAATATTCGTAATGTATAGACGATACGACGCAACTGTGCTGGAATAATTTCTGTTTCTGATGTCACTGCTTGATCAGTAAACCAGATAATCATACAATTTTCGATAAAACGTGTATTTTGTTGTTCTTCGACTGATCTATCTTTTTGAACTTGAAACGAATCATATTTCATAGTCGTATATACACTCCTTACTGTGAGATGTTTCGACGATGCACAACCCATCAGAAAGAATATTGATAAATCTTTAATATGTCACTTTCTGAAATTAACAGTAAAAACTATAATAGAAAATTAATTTCTTTTCAAAAATCGTACCCTATGAAGAATATTTCGATCATAATCGAAATATTTTTCACTCAGATAGAACTTATTTTTCACAGAACGAAATGAGAAAAAATAAAACTTTCGAGATATTTGACTCATTTTGATATGAAAACATGTCTTGCATTTTTTGACCTTTGTTTTCTTGTAGATCGATAATATTCTGTTTTATCGAATGGCGATTTACTTTTGCCTCCACTGAAAGTTTATAGAAATCAATGCTAGAGGGAATGTTTGTTAAAATGATCAAAATACGATTTCTTTTACATATTCATCTATCACATAAACAGAACATATATATCAAACTTGAAATTGAATTCAATTACTGAATAGCTAAAACTTGAAAAGTTAAACTTCAAGTATTCAACTACCACTTTAATCATGCAGTCACATCACTATTCCAGATCTCAGCTCAACTATTCAACTATTCCATTATTCAGCTATTCAACTATTCAACTTGTTAGTTTAAACATTCCAGTATTCAACTTCACCTGCCATGGAAATATACAGGCCTTCCTCGATGTGGATGAATACCTGAATAATTGAACTCAACTTTCAAATTTGACACTACTGTTTTCGCCGTGATATGTCACGGAAGTCTAAGGATAATCATCTGCACGTGCTTGTGAAGAACGATTATAAGATCTAATATAACGTATCATAGAAGAAAAAATATATTGTTTTGAACTTCAAAATTGAAAATCTATATTTGAAATCTGAAATTTCAGTGAATATTCTAAAAGAAAAACGTAGAAATCAGAAAGTCCAAAACGTCTTTAAAAATTCAATATATTCAAATTTTCCCTTTTCACAGTGCTTTTTCAGTGTATCTGACACATTCTGTGAGGAAGAAGGATCGAAAAATGCTGATGTATATGCTATTTTCTCAGGACATTTTACTTTTCTTGCTACGTAATTCATGCTCCTTATTCATTACGGATGGTGTTTCAGAAGTAATTGAAAAATCAACCTAAAAGGTAAAAATTGTGAAGTAAATCAAAAGGGAAAAGACACACAATGTAACAGGAGACAAATGATGGCTATAAAAACGAATTTCAAACAGACGTACAAATAAAATGATTGATATTACCTTTTTTCTAAACTCTAACCTTTCAGTC